ATGGAGATAACGTCTTTCTCGACGGGATATACGTGGAGGTTGACCAGGCCGAGGCTTAGATTGGTTGTTGCCAGTCATGTTGTACCGCTGGATTGTCTTCTGGATTGTGCGACGTGAACAGCTGAATTCTTCTGCCAGTTCCTTGGTAGTACAGCCTGCCTCTGCCTTGGAGACAATACTATCCCTTTGGCGAACAGACAATTCACCACCTGGGACGCGATCTCCTGAAATTTCAGCTCCAAAAGCCCTCATTGTGGTTGTGCAGTAGCGGGTTGAAGTTGTGATGTTGGTCATTGCATTTGTGGTGGTTGGGGTTCGGCCCGTGCGCCGCGAACAGATTAATGCCTTAGTACAGTAGCACCAAAGGCATGCAACTCAACTGCAGTACCAAAAACGTCGTTGCTCTGCAGGCATGAGCATCACACAACAACCTGCCAGCGCGTGCTTGATCTCTACACAACGTCTGCAATGCTAGGGTCATTGTGCCAGGGCGCAGATTGCGTACATGCCCTAAGCGTTAGTAGCTATTCATTGCTACAGAGGTGTGATTTAGTTAGCAACGCCGAGGAACACTATATGTAGCTTAAGCTTGATGTATGTATCATTGCAATAACCGTTCATGCGATCTATGTTCGCGCCTCTGATGTTGCATTTGAAACTTTTATGCGTTTGGGTGCACGCTACTGCAAACAACCGCATGCTCCTGCGCACACCTCTCTATTGCAGTTTAAGCAGAGCCACGCGCCCAGATGGACACCGAAGACAGACCATGTCCTTGCATACTGCCGAATTGTATGACCGGTACTTGAACAGCAGCCACAGAAAGCGCTGCGTGTTGCGCAACACCCACTGGTCCTCTACTGAGAGCTGCAAAGATTGCTCTTCCTGCTCAACAGGTGGCGTCAGATTTAGAGATGCAGGCAGCGGAATGTCTCCTTTGTCGGTATGCAGGGCCTGATCGTCAGGCGAGAAAGTGAGGTGATATATGTACGGCGATGAGCTGTCGAGCACGCCGCGACACGTGCCCGTCGCCGTCTCCCACACTCGCACTGTCCTGTCGTGAGATGCTGAGGCGACCAGCTGTCCGTCTGACGAGAACACCACCGCATTGACATATTGTGAATGGCCCTTCAGCTCGCTGCGACACGTGCCCGTCACCGTCTCCCACACTCGCACTGTCTCGTCGTCGGATGCTGAGGCGACCAGCTGTCCGTCTCGCGAGAAAACCACCGCGTTGACGTCGTCTGAATGGCCCTTCAGCTCGTACCGACAGGTGC